CTGAATTGAAAATATCTTCACTTATCATCGTGGGGGTTCTTATCTTCAACTCTAGAGCTGGTCAGGAACTGTATACAATTCCAGCGGTCACCTCTCATCTCAATGACACCCCTTTTCGATTAATATTTCTTTTTCCATTGTTCTAAAAAATCCCATTTCTCCAACCAAATTGACAAGGAACTCCCACACTCCGCGGACACGAAAGTAGGTCAGGTGTTCTGACCGATATCTGGTATTTTATCAATCGTCCGTCTTGATATCATGTCTTTTCCCTTTCTTTCTTTTTATTATTTCTAAACTTTATTCTTTCAAATAACAATTTCTATTGTTCGTGAATTTCGGTCAGGCACGTTGGCCTAGATATCTCTTGACACCTGTTTTTGCTTATGACCGGGTTTTGTATTATCTATTTCTCCCTCTCTTTTTCCTTCTTTCTCTCTTTTTTTCTTCCTTCTTCTTCCCTTCGGATCGCCTAAATTATTCTCAAAACTCAATTATTCTTCGTCTAAATAACTAACAACTGGTTAATAAACCGAATAAAAATTAAATCATATTTCTATGAATATCTCTTTTTAGTCTTTCTAATAATGCAGGGTGCCACAAAACACTGAAGCCATTTTATTATTCTTTCTCTTCACTAACGTCTTCCTCTCATTCTACGTCGGTCCTTGCGTCTATGCCGTATTATCGTCTTCTATCCAACTAATTTAACAGTTGAAATGTTGACACTGAGTTAATTTAAAGGACTAGATAAAGTACTTCAAGCGTAAGGGGAATACGTTGAAATGCTACAGGAACATGAAATGCTAGACTGAGATTGGGATAGAATATTTTGTAGTAGGCAAGCATACTTTGATTTTTGTAACAAACAGAAATACGGAGAGAATGTTTTTAAGAAGAAAACAAGTTTCTATTTTTTTAAGAAACAGAAGAATGAGAAGAAGATTTTGTAACAAGTAAAGAATTTTCTTTTTTTGTAACAAGCAAGAGATTTTATTAAAAAAGAGAGAAAATTCTAAAAAGTGAACGGATTAATTAAACAATCCATTGGCCTCTATTTTAGTTGAAAATTATTTATGTCCGGTTTATTGAATATCAATACATTTTTTCAAGACTTTTGTTTCATTGAATCTCATTTCTAACGATTGACATCATTTTTGACGGCACGTGTACACTGGTATTGAATAAGATTTGCCGGTTGGATAGCTATGTATTCCACTTCCTTTCATTTCATCCTCGCAACATATGGTTGGAAAAGAAGATGGTGTTCGGGCTGAAAAGACGGATTCCTCGATATGCTTTCGATTTAACCATTATGAATAAATCAGCCTAAATAAGACTGGAAGCTAATCCCCTGTGAATGAAACGAGGTCAGTGACTTTCTCAGTTATAAATATATTCAGTTTACTGGATGCATGAGAACCGTTGCTCGAACAGATGCACTTTTAGTCTCTAGAATTTCACCACCACCATTTTCTCCACACCTTCATAAACTCTCATACACCCACACATAAAAAATGTTCACACAACACATGAACCAAACCTGATAGATAAACCAACTAACATACGCACAAACAACGAAAAGACAGAGATACACACACGCACACACGCACACACACAAACACACACACACACGCATATATATATATATGTGTGTGTGTGTGTGTGTGATTCTAAAATTCGCCTGAATATGTAACAGATATAGTGTTTTAATTTAATTAAATAATTGAATTTCGAAGTTGTTAATTTCTGTTTTTGTAACATGATAATTCCTGTGTATGAAAGAACCATATTTTTAAATCGATTAATTTTATATATATATATATATATATATATATATATATATATATATATATATATATATATATATATATATATATATATATAATCGTTTTGCACCGAACAATGTGATAATGCTACTAGCTTACAAGTGACAAGCAATGAGAAGACGCTACCGTGGAGAAAAGTACAAAAAAGAAACGTGACTTGTAAAGAAAGAAGATGGCTATTGACGTTGCATTTAAATTTTTGTAGTGTGTAAGTGGAAGAGCCTGTTTGTTCATATTGAGTTAATTTCGAGTACTTTCCATAAGGCATAATGTCATCATCACTGTATTCTTAATTATATGATAAGTATTCTAATGTTCATGGTTGTAGAAGCCAAAATTTGTTGTGTCAAGCTATATATATATATATATATATATATATATATATATATATATATATATATATATAAATATAAAATAAAAGTTATTTAATATATGTTCTGTTTATACGTTATTTTTATAGATATAATTTTTTTAAAGGTATTTAAAAACAGTATTCATTTCAAGAAATTTCGTAGACAATATGCACTCTTCGACAGGAATCGAACCTGCAAACATTACCGAACCGTCATATAGCCTGTTGTGCCGTCAACATTCAGCTACGAAGAATCATCTGGGTACCAAAGTCTGAATTCCTACTTAGAGATACGCATTCGATGATTATTCTTGATCGACCATTTCTGCTCATGAAACATATCTTATTGTAAACACTCTCAATACGCTATGAATTTATACGTTATTTTGACAGATATAATTTATTGAAGTAAATGCTCTGTTTTTTTAATGACATTTGCCGGTCCGAATGTTCGAGAACTTTTGTAGAAAATATGCTCTCTCCAACAGGAATCAAACCTGCAACCATTACAATTCAGCTAAAGAAAAGCATCTGATATCTAAACAGTAATTCGGATTTTGCTAACCAGACGATCCTCTGTGGCTGAATGATTACGACACGTCAGGTTCTATGACGGGTCAGGTTCAATGTCTGTCGGAGAGCGCATATTTTCAACGAAATCTCTCGAATATTCAGGCCGGAAAGACGTAATTAATAATGTCAAATTAAAAATCAGAGCATTTACTTAAATATACAATATCTATAAAAAGAATATGTATATAGACACACACACACACACACACATATATAGATATATATGAAAACAAAAAAGAATATATATATATATATATATATATATATATATATATATATATATATATATATGGATGGGAATATAAAATATATATATATATATATATATATATATATATATATATATATATATATATATATATATATATATATATATGGATAGGAATATAATATAATATATATATATATATATATATATATATATATATATATATATATATATATATATATATATATATATATATTTATGTTCCTTCCATATATATATATATATATATATATATATATATATATATATATATGAGAAGCAAGTTTTTTTTTTTCATCGTCCCAAGGGCTTTTTTAACCATTTTCAAGAGGTTTTGCCTTTTGTGTTGTTAGATATTCGGCATGTTTTGATTTAAGTTGTATTTTATTTTTCTGTTGTTTTGAATACGAGCGTTTATTCCGAATTTTCACGTGGGCATCTATATATTCTTCAAATATTATCTTTCTAATCTATCTATCTATCTATCTATCACATCAAAAAACAAAATTCTCTCTCTTTATTTCAAGCTGGACCGACACCTGCCGTATCCAGCTATGAACTGTCTGTCTGGAATTGGGGTTTAGAATTTATTTTCGATAGCAAGCATCGTCTGAGAGGCGCCTTGTTTTGATAAAGGGCTTGTGTTGGTGACTGTGGAAGGGTGTAAGCTATCTCATTACGGGGGAAGTAGACTGGGTTTGGAGATTATTTATCTAAATCTTCTCTTTCTCTGTAAATAAGTTTCGGTTCCTAATATGGGTGCTATCCTATGTGTGTATTACTGGGATTTACAGTAAATAGTATTTAGACCATAAGGTTTAACATTATTAATAAGTGATGGGGAATTTAACATAAAATCAATTAAAATTAAGGTAAATTAGTTGAATGAAAGATACATAAATTGTGAGTAATACCGAGACACTCAATGGAATAAATCAGATAAAATATATATATATATATGTTGAACGATCGCTTTCTGATAATGAGACCCGGTTCAAATCCCAGGTGTTCTATTGATATTAACGGCGTGGAGAGACGATCCTAGCATCCGACAACTTTGGGAAATATCGCAGTTCTATGACAAAGATTAACCCAGGAATTATGAGTCAAATTTCGTAAACTGGACTATTTCGCGGGCATCGATGTTTGTGCTACTCATCTAGTCAATTTTACAAAATTTAAATGCAATTTCAATTTTCTGAATCTAAATTTATTTGTTCAATATTTCATTGATACTTTTATAAAATTTGGACTGAAAAATTTGTTTTCAACGTTATTTATAAAGTATTAAATAATAAATAAGACCTTGTATCTAGTTAGCATAATTAGATAATTTTGTAGATTTTTTATAATTTAATGATAAAAAATATTTTCAAATTTATTTTTTATAAAATAGTAAATAATAATGTTTTTTTTTTTAAATGAAAAATAATGAATCATTATAAAGATAATTAATATTTATTGCATTGTTTCGCTCATATGTATAATCTTACAAATAAAAATTACTGATGGAGTGAAAAGTGTGTACAGGAATAGTGGTATTAAGGGAATATAAATTTTTTTTGCAGGCACGAATGTTAAATATTATGTGTTCATATTCTTTCTAACTCTGTAACATCTAGAATCTTAGCGGCTTTATTACCTTGTTTGGGGTTAAATGATAAAAGAATGCATAAAGTGATATTAAGTGATACATTAATATAGTGAGTGAGTATTGATGAGACAGTACGTTTTTTTTAACGTTGATATGTGATCATTAGTTGTAATTTGATTATATTGCATGAATATTTCATGTTAAGAAATGGTTACGTATGATGAGGATGCAGCACGTTTATTTGTCTTTAGTGTATATCTCTATGAAGTTGGTTCAAATATAGATCGGAATTCAACAGAATAAGATAAAAACATAGGAAACGTTTATCACTCTAACATGTTTCACTTTCAAATTTTCCCCAGATCATTCTCTGATGAAGCTTTAATAAATGTAAAATATGTTAGAATGATAAAGGTTTCCTATCTATCTATCTATCTCATTCTGTTTCTATCTATCTATCTATCTATCTATCTATCTATCTCATTCTGTTTCTATCTATCTATCTATCTATCTCATTCTGTTTCTATCTATCTATCTATCTATCTATCTATCTATCTATCTCATTCTGTTTCTATCTATCTATCTATCTATCTCATTCTGTTTCTATCTATCTATCTATCTATCTCATTCTGTTTCTATCTATCTATCTATCTCATTCTGTTTCTATCTATCTATCTATCTATCTATCTCATTCTGTTTCTATCTATCTATCTATCTATCTATCTATCTATCTCATTTTGTTTCTATCTATCTATCTATCTATCTCATTCTGTTTCTATCTATCTATCTATCTATCTCATTCTGTTTCTATCTATCTATCTATCTCATTCTGTTTCTATCTATCTATCTATCTATCATTCTATTCTATCTGTATCTATCTATCTATCTCATTCTGTTTCTATCTATCTATCTATCTATCTATCTATCTATCTATCTATCTATCTATCTATCTATTATGTACATTTCGATAGTGCAGGACAGAAAGTGGCTATAAGAGCCCTCAGAGGTATTTTAGGTTTAACTTTCGGTATCATATATATATATATTTATTAAAGACATTTTTTATGTTTAACGTTGTTATTTCATAGATACAAGTATTTAAGCAAATGCTCTGTTTATGATAAACAGTATTAAATAACATTTACCGGCCTGAATGTCCGAGAAATTTTCATAGAAAATATTCGTTCATTCACAGGATTCGAACCTGCATCCTATACGGAACCGTCATTTACGCTGACGTGCCTTACCTCTGGGCCACAATGAACCTTATGGTAGACAATTTGTTTACATTCGATACGCCAGAGCAATTATGAATGTACGAGATTCATGGAAGATTGTAGTTTATAAACAGTAAATTCGACCTTGTCTACCATAAGGTTCATTGTCCATTTCTTAATATATATATATATATATATATATATATATATATATATATATATATATATATATATATATATATATATATATATATTCGATGATGCATTCGATTTAGTTAGTCATTCATTCTAAATATATCACAATTTCCGTGCATATGTTAAAATTAACTCAGTATTAATCGTGCATGCATATAGCTAGATTCTACGTAGCTTTCACATTCAGGTTCCCAAATAATTGGTGTTTCATCAGATTTGTATTTCCCCAACAATTCTATCGTAAATATCTCAAGTGGTACCACAGGGGTGGGAACACGTAGAAACCTCAATGGCAATGGCACTATTAGTTGTTTCCACATAAGAAATCATTCGATATTTATGGACATTGCTACCTTTCGCGGATATTTATAACATCTTTCACTTATAATAATTTATCAGAAAAATAAGCTTTCCCATTTAAGTATATGTTATCACTTTTTCAGCATCGATGACGGCTTCTTTCATAACATTTGTTTTGAAGTAATACAAAACATCAGCGTATTGATTATATTAATACTTTTTTTATTAGAATTACATGTGCTTTTTATTTTAATTATGGTTTGTCCTGAATTATTCTCAAGTGATGTATTTTTTGTAATTAAGTAGAATTCTTTGCTTAGGATTCCGAAGTGACACTGCGCAAGTTTTGAATAAGGAAGGCCTAGAGGCTTCATTCGCTTTGAGCATTGATCTGAGTAAGTGATGGCACTTCTTAATCCAGTGCTTATCCTCTTTGGATATTAAGACGTTCGTTTAACCGTATGCTATCTTATGTATGAAAAATCCTATCCAAAGATACATCCATCTACTCACCTTCCGTTTATTGACGACATATAGCACATCTTTTAGATATGCTAGCAGAATGTATTATGTCTCTTCTTATCCTGCATCATATATATTCATTTGGGTTCAGGCATGGCGATCATTATATCTTGAGAATTTGTCAAATATGTTATAGAGAATATTGAATGATATCAGTGTCATATAACGACTACCGTATTGTAAAAGTATATTGAATTTTAATGCATGTATTTTAGAAGACTCGGTTGAACAATTTTCTGGCAATATTGTGCAGTTCAAAAATTCGACCTTTAAACATTAAAAGTGAGCCAGTACTATAACAAAATGATGGCAAGTGTTGCACCCGTATGTCATGACTGAATACACTCAGGATAATATCATATCCCAAATCGACAGCGTATACGCCAACCAGAATCTCGTTCCAGAAGGCAGAACTACATATATCATGATAACGATGAGTACTATTTTGTCCAAATCACGAAACCACTTAAGACGACACGATAGAATTGTGACAAAAAATGAAGTTTAGCAAGAGGTATGTAAGCCCGTGTCCTCGCTGCAAATAAAATATACTTAAAACGGTACATTGGCACACCTATGGGCTGCCGAACCCGCACAGACTCAAGCTTCTACCCTGAAAATGGTGACCGTCTGATTTGATTCAAGAAAAACGCCATTTATTTTGATCTCTGAAACGACCAAATTTTCTTATCCCTTTGAAACATTGAGGTAAACGGTCGCCAAAAGGAACAAAGAAGTGGTGTCATCTTGCAAGCAAACGCAACCCAACGAACAGCCAACCTGTCAAAGGTGTGACTCAAGCTTTATGTTTGGGATATGTTATCAAATCTAACAAATCCTTCTGGATTAGCGTATTCATATATATCTACCCGTTGAACGATATCTGTCTGGAGTTTACTTCCAGAAATATGAAGAGAGGAGTGTAAGATCGGCTGCAGTGGTAAAACTATTCTAGGATGGTATTGATGCGTCTAAGGGTTCGGTTCGAAATTCCAGTCACCTGAAGAAGGTGGCAACGTACAACAGCCGGAACGTTGTGAATATGATAAGGATAACAGTCCGAATAATCTCAAGGACACATTGGATTTGGTTAGATCCATTAAATCAAAGAATTGTGACTTTTAGTGAACCAAATCCTGGTTCAACACTGCTGGTTAATGGTTCATTTCGAAATTCCAATCAGCTGAAGAAGGCTGAAACGTTGTGAATATGGCAATGAAGAAGAGGAAACAGTCCGCATAATCTCAAGAAACATGGCAGACTGGATAAAGAACAATCTATCCCGGTGGACGAAATAAAAGGTCTGATTCGTAAATCCAATCACCTGAAGAAGGCCGGAGCGTACAACGGTCGAAAGTTTGTGAATATGGCAATGAAGATTAGGATAACAGATCGAATAATCTCAAGGACTATATTTCAGTTTGTCTAAGTGTTTTTATATACATGTTTGTTATATGGCCAAGTTTCCTGGAGGAAGAGTAGAAAAGCGGAAACTGGTGAATTTAACAATGGCAGAAAAGCTTCAAATCATTACAATTAGAGTCGATAACTACGGACAATTGGCAATATTGAATCGAGTTTCTTCTCTTTTTTTTTGTCAAAAATGAAGCGGAAAGACAATATTGAATCTTCTACGACGACATCTGATCCAATCTGTCGTGTGAGACAATTTTTCTCCCCAGAATCTATGGGGAGCAGTGAAATTTTCCTCAAAGTTGCACTCTTCATGTATAGTACTTTATTCATATCTTAGAGTCCATGCCAAATTTGAAGCTGATAGGTCACGATTTAGTCTGCAGTATTCCCAACAGAAATTAAAAAAAAAAATATTTATGTTGTGGTGGGTGTAGAGTAATGTATATTGAACAATTATACAATGTTTGTATTCATTTTTGTTCATTCCCTTTTTCTTTTCTTATCAGGATAACTGATCACTTTGCTATTGAGATGGCTACGGTATTAACGAATTCAGCTAGAGATCAGGCATTGTTTGGCTCTTCAAATGTTCTTCCAGTGGACAAACTCCCCTAGAAAGGCAAGATATGAATGTGATAAAGGAAAGTTTGCAGATGTCTCAATGGTTATCAAGAAGGCCGCCCAGAATATGGGATAAAGTAGTTGCAAATTGACAGTCCCTTCCTCTTCTTAGACAGCTATGTATTGAGCGAAGTTTGAGAAAATTGTACATAGACTAATTGCATTTAATAAGGAAAGGAATGTGGGCAAAAAGGTACATTTCAGAAATAAATGAGTGAGATTGATATCTGTAGCTGTTACTATCCCCCTTTCTTCTGTCATGATGTGAAGTGCAACGTTAAGAAGTGTGACGGATATCACCTGGCCTGTAATTGTGTTATAAATGTTCCCAAATATGAGGTCCAGTTCCTATTTGACCAGCGAGAATACAGGAAGAAGAAAATTGCGGGGATTACATGGAAGTTTTAATGATGTGGAACAAAGTGACGTTAAGAGAAAAGCATGGTGTGGACAGAGTCATCAGATAGGTTGATGAAAGATATAAAGATGTGGTAGCTGGATATATTCCTTATATTAAGGATAATTTGGATGATTCAATTTATATATATTCTGTCAATACTGATGCTGATTTTGTCCCCGATCCAAAAGCTCTGACAGACACCATCATACAGAGCAGGACACCTCCTCACACTGGCAACCGCTTGTGACTGATACTTGATTTGGGATTATACTAGGACTGGCTTTGCTACTGCTGTCGTAATCTACTTTCATTATCATAAATGATGACAAAAATCATGTTATTGGACTTCATAAGCTAAGAAATGTGAGACAAATATACCGACTGAAGAGAAAAGTAATTCAAATGGTTAGTTTTTACAATATGGCGTCATTGTATTTTGATGGTAACAAGACCGCCACTCGTGAGATGATAAAGAATGAGAACACTAATGAATTAGTTCGAGGATGATGGTGCAAGATTATTATGTTAGGGTTGAGCTTGGTAAGGAATATAAGACACGTGTGACCCCCAAGGCAGGACACAGAAAGCAGATTGTTAAACTATTTACGAGTTTCTGGTTGAGAAAAATCTATCCCATCAACCCATTCTATGTATTCGTAGTAATGGAACCAGTGTAAATGTAGGATCAGAAAAGGGATCCATTCACCATCTTGAAATGTTACTTGGTCGCCTCCTCCATTATTTCATCTGTCAGATTTACGGAAATGAGCTACCTTTTCGCGCTCCCTTCTATTACTATGTTAGTAAACGAATTGGTCCTGAGCATTGGCGTAGCCCCATTGGAATAGAGATCAAAGAGCCGTAGACTGAGATGATAGTGGTTGCCTTCCAGCAAGCCAGTTTCACTGATTTTCCTGCCCTGAATGAAGAAGTGGGTAAGAGATCTGTCCTGTGATCAGAAATATCTGTATAGGACTTATAGATGAGTTATTACAGGTGTTGTTGATGAGACGTTCACACAACTATTGAGCCAGATCCTCCCTGTATGTTAAGGTGGAATACCTTATGGAATAGAATCCTCAGAATGTATGCAGCAACATCAAGAACCAGCAACGAGGTGAAAAGAACCGTCGTTAAAATTCAGTGCATCAACGTGGTTCTACATCAAAATGCAAATTTAAGTAATACAGGGCTCAAGGAACGTATTCCAGTCCCTGCTATATATAAAGAAAACCTCAATTGTAAGGAGATAGTGAATAAGACAGTCCAGAGAAACTATCCCTCCGCTCACATATATCAACATCTTCGTGTGTGGGAAGATGAAGACGTGATTGTGAGAGAAAATGTCATTCTCAATGTTGAGAAAAATTAGACAGGAGAATCAGCAGATGGAAGAATGCACTGACAGATCTGATGAGGAGAAAGAAGATTGAGATGGGAATGCAGATGTGCATCTTGTAATAAATAAGAGAAAATTGGTGACTCCCAAACTAAAGTAGCAAGCAAAAAATCATTATTCCATGATTAACTAGATGAATGAACTCCAGAATGGGCCTACTTACATTGCTTCTCTATCAGGTTAATTAAACAGGTTAATGACATTCTTGTGGCACCAGTAGTATTCCCCAAGTAGCCAAACGGTACTCAGGTGGCCGAAAAAAAAACTATAAAAGTGATCATTGACGCTTGCACTGAAGTGACATGATACAAAGCGAGAGATAGATATACTAGGGGTAGTTTGTTGTCTCTGAAAATGATGCCAGGTTCCGCAAGAAAAATATTTCACTATTAACTTTTAGTATTTTAATATGTGGTTCCCCTTATATAATACTGGATTTAAATTGATATAACCTATGTACAATTGGTACCCCAAATGCATGAATTTAAGCGTGCTACTAGGTTGGCATATCGGTCCCACCCTTTTACTGTCGAAACAGTTAAATATAACCGGCTCTTCTACTCCAACAGTTTCTTCTCTCGCACTTTTTGACAGGGGAACTCCCTTCATCTTATTTGCTTCCCTGATAACTATAATCGTCTAATATTCAAATGTAATGTCAATCGATATTTTCTGATGCTTTGATCTTGATTCCCATCCTCCTGTTTTTTTTTAAGCAAATATCTCTATTTAGTCTTACATTCACTCTCTTTAACCGCTTGCGTGCTAGTGGCACTCCAGCGTTGCTTGAGGTAAAATTCTTCAGAAAAAAAAAAAAAAAAAAGCATCTAGTTTTGTTGTACAGTTACAGTTTCAAAATATCGATCGCGATGCTGCCGGCAAAGTTGGCATGAAATTGCATGAATTATTTCTGATGAGTCTGTTGCAATCATAAAGACGATGTCTGAAAAGTGAAGCTTGTAGCGCCAATGTGTTTTTTCATAGCTCCCTAACATAAGTTCCCTAATATAAGTCTACCATTCGTGTACGTTTAAAATATTGCTGCTATATATGGTCATATGCTCCTGCTGTTTGCCATCAACTCCTTGATAAAATACAAAGAATCAGCAATATTATCGGTCTTGATTTGATGGCTTATGACGCTTTCCCACTTGCGTCTTCTCTAGATACATTCATGGTAGATGTCCTGATAGGATTTTCATTATAGTACCCATACTTTATAAATAGAAAAGCAGTATTAGGCCGGTGACGAGGTCTTATCGATATAGGATTGATTTGGAGATATGTAGCCGTAAATTCTCTACTAACAGTTTTATTTTCGCACTTTCCACTCGTGAAACTACCTTCCATCAACCTGCTTTCCAGCCAACTTTAATCAGCAAAAATTTATATGCAATGCTAATCGCTTTCTACTGTACTCCTTGAAATCCTTTTCTCTTCCCGCTCAATTTTAATGTTTCTGTACTTTCATTATTCCACAGTAGTAACACCCTGTTTCTTAGTGTCTCGACTGCCTTACATGAGGTAAAACTGATGAAAAACAAAAACAAAACAAAAATAAACAAAACAAAAATAAACAAAACGGCGTAGGTGTGAATATGTATCTTTAATTTTATGAATATGCAAATGAACTGAAACAATATTAAGAAATAATGAACGTAAGAGTAATTAATATTTTGATTCTTCCAATGCATGTAATGTTATTTAAAATCTTCGTGATTCATATTGAAAACATCATTATCTTTGACATTTCAACATGTGAGTATTGGTTAACACAACAGATTAAAGAAAAAATATTTTTTTATTATAAATAGTAGTTCTTTATTTTCTTTCGTAATATAATATTAATAAGATGAACCTTGTGTTTTCACGTTCAAAATTTTTGGATTGGATTAAAAGTCTTCGCAGAATCATACGTTTCCAAATAATTCCTAAAAAGTATTTGTACTTGCAATATATATATATATATATATATATATATATATATATATATATATATACCTACACACACACACACACACACACACACACACACACACACACACATATATATATATATATATATATATATATATATATATATATGAATAGAGTAAATACTGAAGAATATAATAAAATTACACTAACAAGATGATTTTGTTTGAGAAAAAAATCTGTACGAAATTTACAAAAAAACTTTCTTATTCACATTTTTATTTCTATGCTTGGGTTTTTTATGTTTAATTTACAATATAATATTATTTTTTAGGCTTCTATTTCTAAAATCCTTTCCTTATTTCCTTTCTTAACATCTTTAGTCTCGGTCTCTCTGCCTCTCTCTGGCCCTCTCTCTCTCTCTCTTTCTCTCTCTCTCTCTATTCATTTGTTTTGATTTATCGATCTTTGCTTTATTGCAACTACTTTCATTTTCAGGTATTTCTTTTCTTTTCCTCCTGGTTTGTCTTTCTTTTATTTTTCCTTGTGCGTCCGCTTTTATTTCTTTAGGGATTTCTAATTTCTTTTCTTTTCACAGATCTTTTTTCCCCTTCGTTTACTTTCGTAACGTTTTCACTTTGAAGAAATATGCTATGTATTTTGAATTTAAAAAAAAAAAAAAAAATTCAATCATTATTTTACTGACGAACAAGAAGCACATGCGCTAGTGCATTACCAAGTCATTACAAAGATACAAACTTTTTTCTGAATATTCACAAAAAGAAATGGATTACGCAGTAAAAGCATTCCAATAATTTTCCATAAAAAACATCAATTTTAGAGGTAAAAAAAAATCTACATATACCTATACAACGCAAAACCTACGTATATATCCGTAGGATTTACGTATGGAAGTCTATTCACTGGAATGTAATTTCGTATATATATATATATATATGTATATATATATATATATATATATATATATATATGTAGGTATATATATAAATATATATGTAGATATATATATATATATATAATTTTCATATACACAAATATATATTTATATATATAAACGTATATATATTTATATATATAAATATACAAACATATATATATATATATATATATATATATATATATATATGAATGTATGTATACATGTGTGTGTGCTTATATATATAAATGGATGTGTATATAGATGAATATATAATATATATGTAAAAATATACATTCATATAAATATATATATATAAATATATATATGCATATATATAATTTTATATATTAAATATATTATATATATATATATATATATATATATATATATATATATATATATATATATATATATATATATATATATGTATATTCACGTGCATGAGTACATAAATTTATCCATATGATATTATGCGTTTGACTTCTTCAATGGTTATGAATAAGAGAATCCATGTGGGTTTCTGCTTGGGAGATTGGATGAGTCTTATATATATATATATATATATATATATATATATATATATATAGGTGTGTTTTTGTATGTTTTGGGTGTGGGCCTGTTAGCATGTGTAAGGGGAAATTATTAAAACTAACTTACAGGGATGAATGGAAGTTAGACGAGATCAAAGATATTTTTTCTTAAAAATTCTCATACGTTTTTCTAATTAAGTAAAAAAAAACTTCAATACAATGCTCTTAGTTTGCATGTGTATATATATATACTTATTTATAAACCGAGTGATAGTGTATCTCTCTCTCCCTCTCTCTACCTATCTATCTATCTATCTATCTATCTGTATATCCTTGGATGGTTCCTGATGTATATGCTTCTGCACTTATCGACACTCACACACAAACCGATGCACACATACTTGCGCACACACACACACACACACATATATATATATTAAATAATGCAAGTAAACTAAAGTAAATGTCAATAGATGCAATTATATATATATATATATATATATATATATATATATATATATAGTGGGGAAAATAAGTATTACATCCTCTGCTGATTTTGCGAAATTACAAAAATGGGAACGATCCATAATTTTCAGTTCAGGCCCGTCTTGAAAGTGAGAGATAGGAGGCACATGTCCAAGCCCCTCACAAATTTGCAAATGAGCACGTGGGTCATTCAGAGGAGGGTTGGTAGAAAGTGCTTTTGTCAGACGAGTCTACAACTGAATTTTTTGGCATCAACTCGATTCGCCGTGTTTGGAGGGAAAAAAATGACTGACTTGGACCCCAAGAACACCATTCTCAACCATTAAGCATGGTGCTGGAAACATTGTGATGATTCTCTGCTAAGAGGGCAGGACAAATAGAAAAATATGTCTGGGGCAAAGTACAGGGAAATCATGAGTGAAAACCTCTTTCTCTCAGACAGATGGGTCGTGGATAGGTGTTCCAGCATGACAATGGCCCAAAGCATGCAGCTAAGGCAAAAAGGAGTGGCACAAGAAGATGCACGTTAAGGTAATGGAGTGGCCTACTCAGTCTCCTGAACTTAATTCTTTAGAGAATATGTGGAGAGTGATGAAGCTTTGAGTTGCTCCACGACAACCTCCAAAGAGTAAGGATTTGGAGAGGATCCCCAAAGAGAAGTGGGACAAAATCCCCACCAGGGATCTGTAAGAAATCCTTAAACAACTACAGGAAACGTGTGGCTGCTGTGCTTGCCACTAAGGGTTTCTTCATCAAATACTGAGTTACGTTTTTCCTTGGGATGAAATACGTATTTTTTCAATTTAAAAAGTACATGTTCAAAAATGAATTTAATCTGATTTTCTAAAATTTCTTTTTATATTTTATCTCTCACTTTTCGGATGATTCTACCTTGAAAATTATAGACTGTTCTTATTTTTGTAAGGTGGAAAACTGAGAAAATCAGCAGTGGATAAAATACTTATTTTCCTCATTATACACACACACACACTCACATATATGTGTGTATGTGTGTGTGTGTGTGTGTGTGTATTTATATATATATATATATATATATATATATATCTGTGTGTGTAAATATGTATTTAATATATATATATATATATATATATATATATATGTATTTAATATATATATATATATATATATATATATATATATATATATATATATATATATACAGAATAGAGAGAGATAGAGAGAGAGAGAGAAAGAAAGAGAGAGAGAGAGAGAAAGAGATAATTAATATAACTAAAAGTTTGCCATATGGCTAATAGATATTACCTTCATCATCTCGACCCAGAGTGCCACAACTGGAATAGTTCGTCTACACATCAGGGGTATAACCGATTGATAAATATCTTTAAACTTTATTTTTTGTGAATACTCATATTCTGGCCGATCAATGGAAAATAAATTAATTCTGTTTCATAAAAAAACGGATCGTATACTCAAATATTAATATCCACTAAAAAGATATCGTTTAAACCGATAGAGATTTGTCGGGTTAATAAATAAAAAAAATCCATTATTTACTTTGTTTACGTTTGAATACCAAACTGAGTAAATATGGTAATTTCGAGCGAGAAGAATTTGTCTTAAATGCACTGTTCAGATATTTCTTGATTGATAAATCTTCTGGCCGAGTCGTAGGATTTAACAAAGGGTTCTCACCGCCTAGAGGTATTACAGATTCAAATCCTGTCGGAAAACGCATGTTTTATTTTCCAATAAGATTTCTAAATTACGCAGGTAGACGAAAAATAAATAAATACGCTTTAATAAATAAACGGAGCGTCTGCCCAAATATGAGTATCTACTAAAAAGTTAACGTTTAAAAGGATGAACACATCTCGAATCAATGAATAAAAAATATGTTATACTGTGTAACTCGTTCGGACTACTGTCGCCATCTTTATTACAACATTCACAACGTTTCAGCCGTTCTATACTCCGGCATTTTTCAGGTGATATATTAAGTTGGAAACGAAGACATTATTTAGTTCATATGCCATCCATTTTTGGAAATCACGGTTTTAGTATATTCCCTTTAATAGCACAACTCTTCATTTTTTTCCGTCTGCTGTGGACAGGCAACCTTTTTGGTCCTGTCGATCTGTGCATTACTCAATGTATGTATGCATAGGTATATTTTAGTGGATGTGCCCAGTAAATTATATGCACACATTTAGAATTTTTGTTATTTTCTACTTGTAAATTAAAACAGATTTTAAAAAAAATGCGCTCAAAACGCATTCCAACTAAGGAAACCATTAGAAACACAAACGGATAGTTGCTACAGCATGCGTGATGCAATAAACTGTAGGTATAAAGCAAATATTCTGAATGACAGTGTGGATTGTAATTAAACTGATAAGAATAGAAGATCGTACTTATAATTACGTATTAATTACATACTAAAGGTTAATATTTACAACGTAGAATGCCTCACGAATATATAATGTCATAATTACGTATTAATTACAAACTAAAGGTTAATATTTACAACGTAGAACGCATCACGGAACTATATGAACATTCGTATTCGAGGATACCAGTCTACAAGGGCGGCTAGCCGATCCATATTGCGGACGCTGCTTAGCCGCATTTGTGTTTATTCAACACCGACGGAGCCACCCGGAAGTCTGTACTGCAACTATGCTGATCAGAACTTACAGTTTCTAGGAGAACAAGGTCAGCACGCTCAACCCCTCGGCCACTATGACTTGCGACTTCGTGCTAGCACAACTATCAACGGTACCCAAGGGTTCCGTCTATCCAATTTCACCCACAAGGTTGGGTCAACCGATGATATGATTTTCAGGCACTTTCCAAAAGTGCCGGAGTCTGGGATCGAACCCCCAGTCGATATAACTACCTTGCTGACAAATCTACGATAGTGAGATTCGAACCCGTGTCTCGTGGTCAGAATGCAAATGTTCTTACCAATCAGCCACGGGTCCAATACTATATTGACATAATGACATATTAAATACATTTGAAAGCTCAATGTTTAAGACGAAGATCTCACAAATATATAAGATCATAATTACGTAATAAATACATTTGAATGGCAAAGGTACGCAGGTGTAGGCTTTAGGAAAGCTTTATTCAACTGAAAATACAAAGTTCGCGTACAGTGTCCTTTTACAGTCCCAGTAAACAGAAATAGAGTTTTCAAAGAGTAGAGTAGGAAAACAAGAGGAGACGACTATTGATTATTCATAACAACTATAATAACATAATTACTTAAGATATATATTTGAAAACTTAATGTTTACAACGAGAAACACTTCATGAATATAAATGATCATAACAACACATTAAGTACATTTGAAAGCTTCATGTTTACAACATAGATCACTTTATAAAAATATAAGAATATAATTAAATGTTTTTGAAAGCATAATATTTAACTAGATGAATACTTCATGGATTTTTAAATCATAATTACGTATTAAATACATTTGAAAGGTTAATGTTTACCACAACATATCACGCACCTATAAAATTATAATTACATATTAAATACATTTGAAACCATAATTTCTTAACACAAATAAAACTTCACAAACATATAATGGTTACAATTACGTATTTAATATATATGAAAGATTAATGTTTAATACGGAGAATATTCACGAACCTTTACCAACTTAATTACGTATTAAATACATTTGAATGGTTAATGTTTACCACGAAAAACAAACCAGGAAACGATAAGTCCATAATTCCATATTAAAGAAGTTTGAAAGATTTCTCTACAACGAAGGATAAATAACGAAATTATAATATCGACATTACGCATTAAATACATTTGAAAGCATAATGTTTAAAACAAAGAATACTTTACGGACATAGAAAACATAAATGCGTATTAAATGCATTTGAAAGTTTAATGTTTACTACGAACCACAATTTCCGAGCATATAAGATCATACTTACGTATTAATTATATTACAATGATTAATATTTACAACAAATATTCACGAAATTATAATATCATATTTAAGTATTAAATACATAAAAAGAGTAATACTTTCCATAAAAACCAGTTCATGAGCTTATAAGATCATATTAACGGATTAAATACATTTCATATCTTAATGTTTACCACGGTGAATTTTTCATAATTACTAATTAAATAGATTTGATCGCATAACATTAAAGACTAAGAACACATCCCGAATATATAAGATGATAATTACGTTTTAAATACAATTGAAAGTATAATATTTGCAACAGAGTTCATAACATGCACCTATGAAATCATAATTACGTATTAAGCATATTTGAAAGATTAATGTTTAATACAAAGAAGATATCAGGAATCTATAATATCATACATATGTATTAAATACATTTGCAGGGTTCATGTTTATCATGAAGAACACTTCATGACACTATACAATGGTAATTACGTATTAAATACATCTGAAAGCTTAATGTTTACCACAGAGAACACTCCAGGAAGCTATTAGTTAATAATTACGCATTAAGTACATTTGAAAGCATAATGTCACCACTAAGAACACTCCATACATATATAATATCATAATTCCGTATTAAATACATTTGAAAGTTTAATATTTTCAACGGAGAACACCTCACGTACATATAAGATCATAATTGTTAAATACATTTCGAAGCTTCCTACGGTGAACAGTTCATGAACAAATTAGATCATAATTACTTATTAAATAGATTTGAACGCATAATATTTAATACGATACATAGACAACACATATCATAATTAAGTATAAAATACTGTCTACTACGAAGAATACTTCATGAAAAATACGATGATAATTATGTATTAAACACATTTGTAAGCTTAATGGTTACCCCGCAGAA